TGCCCTGTCCTTGAGACGTTATGTACAACACCATTGGCTAAAAAACTGAAAAATCAAAGGTCTAAGCTGCCTTTGTCTCTTTTAGCAATTGCAGCTACCCTACTGGCAGCGCTCCCAGATACAGAGCTATAAGGATCCCATCAGCCCTGGCTCTGCAGTGAACACGGTCCGGGAGCTAGAGGTCAGCTCTGGCAAGCACAAAGTGGAGGAGCGGAGGAGTTGTAAAGGCCTGCCAGGGATGAATGCACTGCTTTGCCAATCAAAGGGCCCTGTGGTGACCCATTTTCACTCATTGAAGGACCCAAAAAGCATGGCTGTAAGACACTTGTTGGGTGGATGAATCACTACTCCTGTGTCATAGAGAATTTTTACTGTGAGGTATCAGAAAAAACATAAAAAATAACAATATAAAGTGGCACTTGGAACATTGCATAGGACATATATATTCCACCTTTATTAGATCTTCCTTTAATATTGACCAAAATAATCAGGGTTATAATTTTTGCCCTAATTTAATCTATTATTTATTTTTTTGTTGTACATATGATAAAATCCAACAGTTTAAGAGGGAAAACTGCTTCAAATAGAAAATAATGTGGTACATTCAACTTCAAAAGCCTATTTATTCAACAAACTCAAATTTAATGGCTATGCCCCCCCTGCCTCCTGCTACCATGAACAGATGCAACCTACAAATACTTGAACAGAACATCTTTTTTATGATATTCTTGTTATTTTCTTTACAAAAGCACCAAATAGATTTAATAGAATAATAGATTTAAAGGACAAACATTTCTATACAGAATAAGCAAACCTGGTTTGCAGCCATGGAAGCATTACAGTACGTTAACATGAATTGATAGTAGTCATGAACAGTATTTTTCTTCATTCTAACCTGCCTAATACATAGTTCATATTATATTGATTTCTATATTTCAATTTTGAACCTAAGTAATGCAGCAGTTGGCAATTATTCAACTTTGCAAGTTTAAAAGTGTATTACTGCGAATACACAGATGCATATGACTTAGTGTTGAGGCTGCTTTTTATTTCTTTTTATGGGGCTGTAAATTGAATAATTAAGTTAGTGCCAAGAATAATCCTGTTTACTTACAGGGATTACAGCTGGTTCAATTTGAAATAAAAATGCAACTGTGCTTTTGACTGCAGCCATTTGTCTATGACAGTTTCAATAAAATATTCTAATAGTCCTTATACAGCACATACAGATTGCATTTACCGTTAAGTTTTAGTTTGGTTTATGTATTTATATTTTAAACAAAGCCTAGACTGATTTTTATACTGCATACTATAATAGTCTGCAAATCATGTTCAGTTTATTTCTTCAGGTAATTCTTTATCTCACACTCTGGCTATACAACTTTAATATGCAGACTTAAATAGGAAACAATGCATTGCAGCTAATATTATATTATATATCACTTACCATAATATTCCTACTATATGTCAAAATGCAGCATTAACACGTACCTCCTTTGATGCTTTCTTTCCCCGCATTACACGACGAGCTATGGATCGGTGTTAAGATGATGCCGCTCTAATGCTGTGCTCTAATGCTGTGCTCTAAATGACATCCAACACTTTCCACATGAATGCATGACCATTTTGTCACACTGGGTAGTTCTGATACCTACACTTGAAAATTGAGCATTACATTAATGCACCTTGCAATGGAGGTCAGTTGATGCATATAGTAATAATGTAAAGTAAATGAATTCATGAGAATACAATATATATACACTGTACATTATGCTGTATGTGCATGTGGATCTGCGTGTAATGGATGGGGTGTGAGGTAATATTACAAGAACACAAAGTAGGGCGAGACAGGGTCCTGTGATGAGATGTAGCAGTGGTGTAATGCATTACCTGTGACAGCTTCAGCCACCTCGCTCACAAAACAAGACTGTCCTGATAATTTCATAATTTACCACTGCCAGACACACACAGTACACATAATGAGATATATTATACATGCATGTGCAAAGACTGTACTAACACACACAATTCACATTGAGATATGCACAAAAAGACAGACTATGAATACATACACACATCTCGCAGCCCTTGTCTCTCTCGTCCCATTTCTCCTTCAGTGCTGACAGAGACACTTGGCATGCTGACATTCACTGTGAGAGCTGACACTGTTTGATGAGTCAAGTCCTTTGCTGCCTGCAGTCAGAGGTCCGAAATGTGCTTCTCTCAGGTAAAGTTACACACTGTATGAAATTTGAAGCAGGGGTTTGAAGAAAGGAGAACTGATAAGCTAACCATACAATTCTATCTGTGTAGTGGTGATTATCTTAAGTAAAGCACATCCCAGATATTACTGATTAAAGTCCCTGTATATTGAAGTCACTGGTAAACCAGTTTGACTTGTTTATGTCTTTGCTTATGTTTAATGAACCAAAGGATAGGGGCAAGTAAAAATTAACTTCAGCCAAGTAGATTTCTGACTAACAAGGCAAGTGAAAAAAAGCTGTAATGCTGAACCACGCAGACAATGGAAGGGGAGGAGAATTCTGACTGCAATAGTCGGCCAATGGCTTACACCCACAACCTTCTTCATGTGAGTCAGAATATGCTAAAACCTGTCCAGGTCTTTTCACCCTCATCATTTTCTCCCCAATACACCACAGAAACAAGCCTACATTTTTACTATAACTTTCAAAGCACTTATAGGGGATAGAGCATTAGCCATTGAGAATTAACTCTCAAAAAGTTTATTGTGCTTGGACAATTCCATCAGATGTGATGCAACATTGATGCAACGCAGGCAGCGGAGCAGCTTTCAGACCTTTCAAAGCAAGCTCTCCCTCAGGCACTGGTGGCTGTAGTGGAGCTTGGACGCCTGTTACAGAGTTACAGTTAATCAGAGGATTCTCGATTAAGAATTAAGTAAAGAAACAAAAACATAGTCGTTTAAGTTATAGGAGAAACAGTATTTACTAGGGCTTCCATCATTTATTTTTAATTCCATTACTGATGCCACTGTTACAGTAAGAAGCAACACCAGAGAGACGAATGGTTACCTACTGTAAGGCTCAATAGTGCCAAGTTATTTCTACTCCAGTGGGACCATACTTGTGATATGGACATTTTTGTTTTATGTGGACCTGGTTGCTGTCTCTGCTCTAGCCTATGAGCCATTTTAATACAAAGTTTAACTAAAATTGAATGAAATGAAGCCTCATAAGTTTCCCTGCAGGTAAGGAGGACCTTGTTAAATGATCATTGTGTAGAGGGATATTTTGTTTCCCTCTTGGCTAAGTCTGCTAAGTGTCCTGACTGCTGAATTGGGCAAACATGTCAAAATAAAACATTAAAATTCAAAGGCAATGGCTCGGGTTGGCAATTAGCAAGCTGACTGACTCTTCCAATGTCTGCGGGTGGCTCTTCTTGGTTTTGTTTTTGGCCCCTCTTTTTATGATATGAGCGTCCTGCCGTTGGAATAGAAATGTGTGGAGTTTGGCTCAGTGAGTCTCCAAACGGCAGAGCTGGTGTGGGTGGATGGCAGCCTCTGACTACAAATGAGAGCACACAAACGCACAGTCTAATCCGTCACACATGTAATGAGTGCATCTCTGCAATGCCCCCTTAAGAAGACGCGCCGGCCGTGAATGTTCACATAAACACACATGCACACACACACAAACGTCAGCGGACATTCACTCCCACACACAAACAGCAACAGAGAGAGGGTAAATGCATAAAGCATGGCAGTAATATGATTCCAATGCCCTGAAGAGATTAAATACACAAGCAGCATGAAACATGTCCATGCACGCTGAGTCTTTCTTTGTATTTAGACTTTCTACACATAAAAACCAAAGTACAACTTACGACCACACAAATTAAGTATTTAGAAAAGAAACTTTTGAAATGAATATTGTCCTGGCCTCGGTCACTATTGCTCTTAGTGTGAGACACATATCTCTGCTAAGTCTCCAGTAAAAAGCCACAATGAGAAGAGCACAGACCTATTGCTAATTAAGGATTAGGAAAGTTATAAGAATGCTGATTGGTGCCCAGTTGATGCAAAAGCAAATTACATGTGTTTTTAAATAACTTATCTTCCCTACTTACCCAGCCAGCGCTCGCGCCACCTTACACCATTTCCATATGAAAATGCTAAATTGATTTTAAAATGTAACCATTTGTTTTTAAATCCTTATATGGATTATATTCTGCCATCAGGTCACTTAGGTCATCCTCACAACAACTCCTCTCAGTCCCTCACTCATGCCTCAAAACCAAAGGTCACAGGGCTTTGTTTGTTGCTGCTCTGGAACACACTCGAGTCCCACATAACACTTGGTCCACCAAGACACCTTTTTTACTTTCAGTTCAGTCTGAGGCTGCCTCCATGGTCAGCTTCACTTAGTTTAAATGGCCTCTTACTGTCTCTGTTTGTCTGTGTGCGTGTGTGTTTATTCAATTTCCCAACTTTTTTTTACTTTGATTTTATATTTTTAGTTGTCTTTGGTGTTTTTTTTTTATTTGTCTGGTCTCCTCTGTATTATATGTAATATTTTATTGCATTATGTATTATTGCATTTTATGTACTAATCCTTTAAACATGTATACCTGTACGGAGGCATATTCTAACACATCTGCCTTGAATGGAAAGCATTTCATCCTTTTACTTTTAAATGTGCTATATAAATAAAGTAACTAAGTAAATTGACTTGACATATAAAAAGGTTTTCGATGAGGGTGCCATCCTTTGATTCTGCTGAATGTTTCTGATCTCTACCTCTAATGGAACACATGGTACACAGGTCTGGGAACAGAGCACTGACAATAAAGCTCTTGCTAAGTCAGTGAACCTTAGCATGACTGTTAAGGGAAAAGTTACAGGTGGATAGTTGTGGCCATCAGGTGTGGGTGGACAGGGACGTCTACTTCATGGTTGCTTATTCTCTTTACTCAAATCAATATATTTTTGTTTTCTTGTACAATATAAAACAAGTGCTTACCCTGTGATGCGTGGCAGCGTGTCAGTGGAGAAGAGGGCAAGTGGAGGTTTGTCCCGCTCTATAAACCATATGGTGTACTTCCCACTTTGCTTGGGGTGGAAGAACACAGCCATGTCCAGACTACATTGACCCTGGCCCCCCCACAGCCAAGGACTCAGCACCCAGGGACCACCAAAGGCTGAACTGTTCACCCAGAGGAACTGACCTGAGGGAGAAAGAAAAACAAAGTACTGTAGAACACAAAGCAGTGGGTGTAGTAGTAAGAAACAGAAGGACATGGTTAAAGACTTATTGATCTTGCTGAGCACATATCAGTAGCAGCAAAGCTTGAAAATGACCATCTTATTAACATGATGTGATGTTACAGTATGTACAGAATTCAGACATGGGCTACAATTTCAAATAATTTGCTGAGAGTAGCACTTGATAAAAATGCATGAAATAAAGCTGCTTTGAAAAAGAGCACTCAATGACATCCCTTGCACAAAAAAAAGGGGGTAGCGGGTGAAAAATCAAAGCATTTTTTTTTTCTAGCTTTGATATGAAGTCCCATTTCACTTTCAAACCCATTGAGCTCATTCAAGCAGGAAGTTCATCAAAAGCGGAAAGTTGTGTGCGTGTTGTGAGGAACCACAAAGAATCTCAACTTGAAAGGAAGAAAATCCATTTTTTATATGTTCAGTTAAGAAGAATTGTGTTGGAGAGGGGAAGCTAAAAAATGTTAACCCAAAATGTTGCAGAATAAGTTATATTTCTCTGTTTATCATTCTCAGGAACCATTCAAGGTAAGTTTGTTTATTTTGTTCGTCAGTGTCAGGGTCATGAATTGTGCTCCATGCTGCTGTTGCAGTTGTAGAAATAAATCTACAAGTATTTTGTAACACAGGCTTGATGTATTTCTTTTCTTTCCTTTTTTAGTGTGTTTCCATTTCTAGGCTGCACTCTTGCCTCTGGATAATGGTAATATCAGCCTCCCAAGGGTCAGGTTCTATCAAAATGTACTTCTCTATCTGGGACACACGTGTCTTGTGTACGTCGGCAGTTGAACTAAAAAAGCTTTTTGCCATTAGTTATGTATGCAATGCGTATGTTAGTACCTGTTGGACAGAAGATGGGAAAATAAGCCTGTACAAACTCTTGATATTGACACAGTGAAAATTTTACATTGAATCTGGTTCTCTTATTTAGTCTTGACACTAATCTTAACACTGATCAGTGTCAATATATAATATGTACTGTATATATCTATGTACTGTAGAACGTAACCAATTACGTATATGCAGTAACCTGCCTTTAAGTAAAACTTGATTTCATTCTGAAACATTGTTTCAAAGGTTTCTTAACTATCTCGCAGGTAAAATACGCTGGTTAAATAGCTGCAAGGTTAAAAATAAAGACAACTGAATTTGGCATTCAATTTTAAATAAAAGTCAATAGACATGAGCAGGAGGACCTCAAGCCTTTAGTCTGTATCTGTACTCAGGCCTCTTTCTACAACTTTTCCTCCCTAATTTTATTCTTCCCTGATATCCAATGCTTTCCCTTATCCCCTGAGGTTGCTGAAAAACTGGTAAATTTGGAGGCCTTCAAATTGGAGTGCTCCAAGTTAAGCCTCATTTGCTTTCCCTTCCACATTTGCATGCTCCTTACACAGAGGGTCCAGACAATTTGGCAAGGACAGTCCGAGTGCAAGTTTGCAGGCAATGTGGACTGCACACATTTTCTACACACCCAGCAGCGAATTGATATAAAGGTTTTAAGACTCAGCCTGGAAGGGCTTTGGGCCTGAAGGCAGAAACCTATTAACTCTTGTTTCCTAGTCCAAATAAGATGTAGAAATACCTGCTTGGGAGAAATCATCAGCAGGGTACAAATTCTAATGGCAAACTACAAAGGAAAGACTGTAATTCCATTAGTAAATTTCTGCCTCAGCTTCACCTGTGAATACTGCTGCCTAACAGAGCTTGATGCCCTCATTTACTGCATCACAAGGCCTGGTTCAACTGACTGTCTGCCCCAATCTGCAGAGAGCAACATGATCATTGATGGGGTTTAGGCAGTATAGATGATCACTCAGCAACTTATATTTAAACCAGCTGTGCATAAAAAACAATAAAAAAAGGCCATAATACAAAAATGAGAAAAGAAAAATGTAATTCAGGCAACAGTGCGCTTTACTGGTCGCTGATTTTAATCGACAGGTCCATTTGTTTATGAGAGAAGATAATTCAGCTCCTTGTAGAAACCTCCTGAACGATGAACACTGAAGGAACCCTTAAGTTGACTGCAGTGACAACATGGTGGTGAAGACAACAACTCCCATAATTCCACACTATTTCAAGACTTCGCCAAATCTTGTTTTTTGATATAGTTTTGGTGAGGCAACAAAAATTACGTATGTTTAACAAGAGAAAAATTCCATGACTCTGTTGCTAATAAGAACTGTCAACTAATCTGAGCTCTTTCCTTTCTTTTGTAACCTGGTCAGCACTTTGAACTCCAATTGGTTTTGCTGCAGTTAATGGACTTTATTGGGGACAATATTTTATATATCTGTGAATTTTAGTTTTAGCATAATGTTAACAAAATGTTACTTGATTAAAACTCCTTTCAAGGAAGAAAACATGCCCAAAAAAGCAGAAGCAGAAATATTTCAACCTAAAGTGTATTCTGTATTGAATCAAGCGGGTAAACAGAGGCTCTTGCTGACATAGCATACCAAATCAGACCAACTGCTGGTGAGAGCAGAATTCCCTCAGATAATAAAACTGCAACTAAAGGCCTGAAAGAAAGAGGAAAACAAACCATTCAAATTGTATTCTCTGCCAAATCCTCTTATAGCATAATGCATTTACTCAGGGCCAGCACAAGCTTTTTGGGGTCCCAACAGTTTGACAGCCTCACATTTTAATTTACAACCCATTCCTTGGCACAGCATAGTGACAGCTTCAACTGTAGAGAGATGGTGTAGAAGTATGTTCAGCATGCTGATGTACAGCCTCCTTGTGAAAGTGTATTGTTGGTTTCTTATTTGAAATGATTGCCACAGAGATTTAGATTTTTAACCTGCAGATTTTTTTTGCCATTTAGGGGCAACAAGTTCTGAACAGAACAATGACATATACTTGTCAAATTGATATGGCAAACTTGTTAGCAAATAGAGTTTTGTTTATGTGTTTATCTGATGAATGCAAGTTTAATCTTTTAGCTCAGTTTTTGGTCTCTCTCTACCAACTCCTGAAGGGAATATCTAGCTCTTTTGATGCTAAATGCTCCACAATATTCACCAGCTACCTGTGTCTTTCTGCTTTTTGGTGCTGAGCAGGTAGTGCACAGTGGGTTTTCAGAGCTTTTTTTGCTATGGCCAAAAACAACACAATAAGAGTGGCAAGAGTGAACCAACACAGTAAAGTTGTTGGCCGGACGGCTATTCCAAAGTATTGATTATAGACTTCAAATTTGGTGTTAAGTAGGCATTTTTATAGTGAAAAAGAAGAACTTGTCAACTTGAAAACAATTAATATAATTGCTATCCAACACTTTTTAAACTGGGGTATTGTGTGTAATATATAATAATTCATCATTATATTCAGGGATAGCAAGTGTAAATTACAGACTGTATTAAACTGAACCATACTAATTCATTTCAAGACGTTTGGGCACATTGCTCGGACAGAAAGAGCAATAGAATCAGTAATCAGATAATGGTGGAACCAATCCTGTCCTTTGGGCATAAAACCCTTGTCATGGTTTGTATAATACTTTTTGTAATGCTGAAAATGAAAATAGTCAAATGACATGACTCAATAAGAAGCACAGAATATGTCAGTGTGACAAACCACTCAGCCCTGGTAATTTTCAAAGCCAGTGGCCATGCAATTACAGGAGCATACCACTTACTACTAATGCAGACAGTTTACCCATAAAGGACTCATGTAAAATGAATACTGGAAAAAATTACTTGACATGTATATCTGCCAGTTAAAGCCTCTAAGATTCATACAAAAAAATCCTGAATTGCCAGGATGTTGGTCCTCAGGCTGTCAGTCGCCTTATACAGTAGCAGGACCAAAACATGTCCAAAACATACAGTCCTTTGGTTGTACTGTATAGTGCTTGTGATTCTATAAAATGTCAAACTGCATTATGGTTGTTTAGGGGTTGAACGGCCCTTGATATCATCCAGTATGATATAAATCACTTAAGATTTTTTACATAAAATGTTGAGTGAATGAATAGCAGGCAAGTTGTTTTTGTGACCTGCTCTCATTGCAACACCAATCATCAGATAAGCAAAAACAAACTGTGGATTATTACTGATTAATGTTAAAAGGAAAACTAATGAATATCACCAGGCTGTGTTTACGGACATGGTATCCGCTCAGCTGCTTGTTAGGGAAGAAACCACCATTGATATGAGTGATTTCACAGATTTTATTTTGTGCTGTCCTTTGTTTTATTGTGAGAATTTATTGCAATAGTTTTTTTTTTT